GGCAGTCAATTTATGAGAGATGGTAGTGAGATGATCTGGCCCAGTAATGGGGCAAGCCACACTTGGTGGAACATTGGCTTCTGTGTAAAAACAAAATCCATGTGATTCCTGTTGAGCCAACCACAATGACACAAAACACTGTTCAGTCTTTTTAGTCTCCCAGAGCTGTTTATCAGGCTGAATCCTTAAAAAAAATCACAAGAAACTACCTATATTTTTCTACTGAAGTGGTTGAAGCATAGCTTCTTCTTTCTTCATTCTCTTTCTTATAATATGTAAACATGTTGTTGATGTTTGGGTTCTCAAAAATTCGTAATCAGGAGTTACCTTTCCAGTACTTTTTGTTTCCATTGTCTGGAATCTTGTCAGATTAGTGAGATTAAATAGTAAGGGTGATGCTATTCTTTTATCAGGTAAAATTTTGTACATATAATTTGATCATAACCCAGCTACAAATGTCATTAGAACCCTTCTCATATTGCATGCTAGGTGTGTGTTATGTACCACCAAGTTGCTTCCAATCTATGGCATCCTATGAATTAATGACCTCCAAAATGTCTATTATTATAAACAGCCATTCTCAGGTCTTGTAAACTGAGGGCCCTGGCTTCCGTCAATGAGTTAATCCACCTCATGTTGGGTCTTCCTCTTTTCCTGCTGCCTTCAACTTTTCCTAGCATTATTAGCATTTCCAGTGACTTTCATCTTCTCATGATATGACCAAAATATAAGACTCAGTGGATTCAGGTGTGATTTGATCCAGAACCCACATGTCTTCTATTTTTGCAGCCCCAGATATCCTCAAAATTCTCTTCCAGTACCACATTTCAAATTAATCAATTTTCTTCCTGTCAGATTTCTTGATTGTCCAACTTCCACATCCATATATGGTAACGGAGAATAAAGTAAAGGTAAAGGTTCCCTTGTTCGAAAGACAGTCGAATCCGACTCTAGGGTTGCGGTGCTCATCTCCGTTTCAAAGCCGAAGAGCCAGCGCTGTCCAAAGACGTTTCCGTGGTCATGTGGCCGGCATGACTAAACACCAAGGCGCACGGAACGCTGTTACCTTCCCACCGAAGTGGTACCTATTTATCTACTTGCAATTTCTTGCTTTCGAACTGCTAGGTTGGCAGGAGCTGGAACTAGAGACGGGAGCTCACTCCGTCATGCGGCACCTGCGTCTCGAACTGCTGAACTACCGACCTTCCACAGCCTGCAGTTTGGTCACCAGTGACATATATCCTTACACTTAAGAACCTTTTCTCTTCCTGTCAGAGCTGCCGTTCTCACTCTCCTGATTTCTTGGTTGCAGTCTCACATTTGGTTAATGATTGAGCCACGGAGTAGAAAATCTTTAACAGTTTCAGTTTATTTACTGTCAACCTTAAAGTTTTGTAAATCCCCAGGAGTCATTACTTTTGTCTTATAATCGTGGTTTGGCAATTTCTGCTTTAACTTTTGTCAGTAGTCATATAAAGTCTTCACTACTTTTTTCCAGTAATGTGGTGTCATTTGCGTATCTCAAATTGTTAATGTTCCTTCCACCAATTTTCACTCCTCTTTCACTGAAATCTAATCCAGATTTCCTCATGTGTTTTCCATATAGATTGAAGACATGTGTGTTGTGTGTGTTAAGTGCTGTCAAGTCACTTCTGATTTATGGCGACCCTATGAATTAATGTTCTCCAAAATGTCCTATCATTAGCAGCCATTCTCAGGTCTTGCAAATTTAGGGCCGTGGCTTCTTTTATTGAGTCAATCCATCTCATGTTGGTTTTTCCTCTTTTCCTGCTGCCTTCAACTTTTCTTAGCATTATTGTCTTTTCAAGTGAGATTATGGCGATCTCATCCTCTTCCCTCCCTCACACGCAGGATTTGCCCTCCTTTTCCCCTTCCTTTCTCACTAAGCAGACCCCTATCTCTATTTTCTTCTTATTTGAAGATTTATGGTTGTCCCACCCTGTCAATTGTATTTTGCTGGCTGAGCCCAGAAATTTGAGGGAATATCACCTCCTTAATTTATACTTCTGAAAATGGCCCATGAGGGGCTTTTGAAAGTTCAAAAATAAACAAAATATTTTATTCAATGTAGAGGAGGGAAAGTCAGGTTAAATCGGAGTGAAACATCTGAGGTGAATCATAAATAACTCTGAGGTAACTGAGTAAATTCACAAACTCCAGTTAATATGTTTCCATCAAATGAGAGTTTTAAGCTTTTCACAAAGTCTTAGAATCTTTGAGATGATTTCAGTGTCTGCTAAATACTCCGGTATACATTCTTGAGTTTAACTGACTCTTCAGGTTTCAGAAGGCAGAGATACCCTACCAAGTACCCAAATTCCTTCTCTAAACAAACTCTTCTCTTTGAGTTATCTCCCTTTTCAACTGGGTAGGGAATTACTTCTCTAAACGAGTAACTGTCCCTTTTTCTGGCCTGAATGGGGGGTCTTCAGCAATCCTCCCACTCCTCCTTGCCAATCTTCCCAGTCCTCAGTCAGTGCTAAACTGAATTCTCTCCATTAGTCAGTTCCCAGCTCTTTCTTCTCAACAGATGCTATCCAGTGAAATCCGTTTGAGCAGCCTGTAACTCAAAGGCTTTCTGGCTTTTTGAGGCATTAATCCTTCACAGTCCGTCATATGTATATAGCACTTATGAGCTTTTAAAACACAGTCTGTCACACTTGTCTTCTCATAATGTGACCAAGTATGATAGCCTCAGTTTAGTCATTTTAGCTTCTAGGGAGAGTTCAGGCTTGATTTGCTCTAGAACCCACTTATTTATCTTTTTGGTGGTCCACAGTAACCGCAAAACTCCTCCAACACCACATTTCAAAGGAATCTACTTTCTTGTCAACTTTCTTCATTGTCCAGCTTTCACACCCATACATAGTAATGGGAAATACTGTGGCATGAATTAACTTGATCTTGGTCACCAGCAACAATATCCCTACTAGTGCTCCCTCTAAGCTGTGGGGTCTCGTGAGCCAAAATTCTACTTTGTGAGCTACTGGCATTAGAGTTATGAGCCAGCGATTTGGGTACTGCATAAATTAGTTTGCTCTGGAGCCATCCAAAAATGTGTGAGCCGGAGGCTTAAAAACTGTGAGCCAGCTCACACTAACTCAGCTTAGAAGGAACACTGATCCTACGCTTAAGGATCTTTTCTAGCTCCTTCATGGCTGCCCTCTCCAGTTTCAATAGCCTTCTGACTTCTTGGGTGCAGTCTCCATTTTGGTTGATCATGGAGCCAAGGAATAAAAAATCTTTAACAATTTCAGTTTCATCATCATCAACCTTAAAGTTGTGTAATTTCCCAGTAGTCGTTACTTTTGTCTTCTTGATGTTCAGAGACAGAGAGTTACAATACATCCTTGTCTGACACCTTTACCATATGGAAACTGTTCTATGTCTCCATGGTCTGTCTTAAACTTGCCTCTTGTCACTAGGTAGAACCAGTTTAAAGTTCCTAAACATAACCATTTTATCTTTGGAGTAGCTACAGAAGGGCCATCAAACTCAAATGGGTCTTCAGCAATCCTCTGACAACTCCTTGCCAATTTCAGCAAATTGGCAGGGCTACATCTGTAATATTTCAGCAAAAAATTAAGAACATTAGAGCCCTGCTGGATCAGACCAGTACTCCCATCTTTAAAAAGGGTTCCAGAGGAGATCCGGGAAATTACAGGCCAGTCAGTCTGACGTCGATACCGGGTAAATTGGTGGAAACCATTATTAAGGAAAGAATTAGTAGGCACATAGATGAACAAAACCTATTGAGGCAGACTCAGCACGGTTTCTGTAAGGGAAGATCTTGTCTCACTAACCTATTAGTGTTCTTTGAGGGGGTGAACAAACATGTGGACAAGGGGGATCCATAAACAGCAGACCCTCACCCCACAAAAGGGAAGCCTAACAATTACTACAAAAGTGATTGTGTAATTTAACGGCAGCTGCCAGAAATTTTGTCACACACCAATTGGTTTGTTTATCTTTATCTCTGAGTAGCCAAGATGATTTGGCTTCTAAAGAAATATAGTCCTGATTAACTAATGGAGAGATCAGTTCAGCTCTTTGGTCTGAAAATTTGGGGCAGTCAAAAAGAATATGATCCACAGAATGGATTCTGTTGTTGCCACAATTGTAGAGGCTATCTGAATATGGAGTTCCATTGAATGTTCCTAACATCACCACTGAAAGTAGGGCATTCCAGTGTCCAAGCGTCAATGCCCTTCTATACTTTGGAAGAGTTAGCTCAGATAGATAATTTTGCATTTATGTTGGAGGGAGAATGCCTACTGAGAAAGATGAACACACTCTGCGAGCTTTAATCAACTCAGGTCCGGCTCAGACTGGGCAGAAAACGCGCAGGGGGAGGGAGGCTATTTTTCATGCGGTAATTTGACCCACCGCTGCGTGATCATACACAACGGCGGGTGAAGTGGCTGATTTACCTTGCAGCCTGCTTCCTCGAGGGCTCAGGGACGCCAGCCTGCTTCCTCGAGGGCTCAGTGACATCATCAGAGCGCGCTGGGGTAATCACCCCAGGAACTCCGTCCTCGGCCATCACGGCATTGCTTGCTAGTGGAGTT